AATTTTTTGGATCTCCTTGGGTCATTGTTAGAAGAAGAAAAAAAAAAGCCCTCTGTCATGGACCCCAATTAGAGACAGAAGTTATTAATTTTTATTAGGAGTTTATGAATTTCACACCTCAATTATTTTTTAAAAAAATGTGAAATCTATCAGGATATGCTTTCCCCTTTTCCTTACAATTTGCTCAGAAGTATAAATGGTTCTTTCTGTTTCTTTGCTTTTTATTGTCTCCTCCAATTTTTTTTTAAAGGTAGCTTTGACTGTATTTTTCAGACAAAAACGTGGATCACAAACCAAACTTTGAAACTGATTTGTTTCCTAGTTTCATCTTAATTGAAAATGAATGTGTAATTTCTCAAAAAGCAATATGTACAGTGCTGGATTTTAATTTCACCCCCCTCCACACACACAAAAAAATGGGTGTAGATATTGTCTGGAAGGAATGGGACGTAGTGGCTCAGTCAGTGGCTAAGATGTTGAGCTTGTTGATCAGAAAGGTTGTCAGTTTGGAGGTTCGAATCCCTAGTGCCGCGTAATGGAGTGAGCTCCCGTTACTTGTCCCAGCTTCTGCCAGTTTCAAAGCACGTAAAAAATGCAAGTAGAAAAATAAGAACAACTTTTGGTGGGAAGGTAACAGCATTCTGTCCTCCTTTGGCATTTAATCATGCCGGCCACATGGCCATGGAGATGTCTTCAGGCAGCGCTGGCTCTTCAGCTTTGAAATGGAGATGAGCACCACCCCCTAGAGTTGGGAACGACTAGCACATATATGCGAGTGGAATCTTTACCTTTATTGTCTGGAAATAATTTTCAATGTTTTGAAAAACATGAATAAATGTGTGTGTGTATGTGTGTGTCTGTGTCTGTGTGTGTTGTATTTGTGCTGATAAATAAATAAAGGGAGACTAGTATAGATCTATTTCAAGCTATTTAGCTCTCATCAGCTAGCCATACCCTTACTGGGATTCTGCCTAAGATGTAATACAGCACAGGTTCGAATCCCAGTAAGGGTATGGCTAGCTGATGAGAGCTAAATAGCTTGAAATAGATCTATACTAGTCTCCCTTTATTTATTTATCAGCACAAATACAACACACACAAACACAGACACACACAGACACAT